ATCAATTAAAAAATCTCGAACATTGGCATCTCTAGTTTCACTGGTAGAACCCGAACTTTCTTTAAATTCATTTGTATTGCTTATTACGTTCGCTACGGTGGATTTTCCGCTTCCTGTTCTACCAATTAATAATATTGTTCGATTTTGCATTTTTGATTCTTTTGCAAAAAAATAATTTGTAAATAATCGATCGCTATATTTATATCTCTCGTTATCAGTAATATCAATCACTAATTATTGTTATCCATTTTTATGTTAAAATGGTACGGTAACAAATATGTTTGCATTAACTATTTATGTCGCGAAAATCTTTACAAATTAAGAAATAATAGAATATTTACTGTAATAGAATACAATAACGATAGAAATACTTGCACCCTATTCATTATTTAAATTTCCAAAAACTGTAATAATAACAATGATGATGATGAAATACTTACTATTTATTATTAAATAAAATGAAAATCAATATTTTTTCAAAACAAAGATATTTATTGACTGTAATGATCTTTATTGTGAATAATAAATGAACATTTACGTCCTTATCAAACAGGTTAAATCATAGATTGGTCTTGCCAAAACAACAGCAGCAAAAGATAATCAAGAAATTTATGTTAAAATGATATGGTAATTATGTTGGCATTAACTATTTATGTTGCGAAAATCTTTACAAATTAAGAAATAATAGAATATTTACTATTAGTGAAGACAACTCTGGAACATTCAACATATGTGATTTTGGAAGTGCACGCACACCGCCTTGAACTCTTTACAGCCGTTCTCACATGTTCCTCGTGTACATAAGGCTAAACCAGCCTGCGATCCCCAAGGATACAATGATGCAATTAAATTCCAGGGGGGGGGCAGTATGGCCCTGGAGCTGCATCAAGACTGCATCAATCATCAATGACACTTTCACTAATCTTCCCTCACAGTCAGTACCCAGACCAGAGAAGGCTGCTGGCATGCTGGCTGAAAAGCCGCCTGCAATGACCATACTCTAGGGTAAGGATGGCTCTGTGACCAAGATGTTGTAAATTCTGGAGGAATATTATGAGAATCTGCAACTCATTTCAAGTGTAGGAAGTTACAATTCAAAGTGAGATTGGTGATCCTGAAATTGCATTTGGCTCTGATATTAAGAGGAAAGTTGTAAAATAGTGTTTGTTTTGTACTAAATTCTCCGTTTTTTTGATGCTAACCAATTTAATAATTTTGGATAGGGTACTGGATGAGTTTTTGCCCAATCAGTCCTCTGTCTTATAGATTAAAATTATTGCATGGTTATATGTATCTTTGTCAACAATATGGCCAACAAGAAAAAAGTTATAAAATGGTTCAGATTTTGTTTGGTATGTTATAAATTAATCGTTTTCATAAATTTTCTGTTTCTCTTTAATTTTTGTTTGATCAACTGAATTTGTTGTTTTTTAAATGGGGGTAGGGTTGTTGGCAAGTAGGCATGACACCAGCAAGACAGAACTCAAGACTCAAAACTCCGAATTCAGGAAAAATCCAAAACAGCAATCCAGGTTGTAACCTCCAGAGTTAGAGAGTTGCAGACACCAACTTTATTTTAGAGAGAGGTGATAACACAAAGTAAGCATCATAAATGCCAACTTTCATCAGCAATCAATGCCCATATGGTAGCGTCCAGCCTGATCTGAGGGGAGGATAAGAAAAGTTTTGTCCAAAGCCTTCCAACATGTTTTCACCTTGCCTGTGGAAAAAAATTTCATGGTTATGAGGAGGTGTAAAGGCACCTGTTGACTTGTTTGTGACAGGAAATTTTTATTAAATCTGACACCTGTAATCAATATCAGATTTATTATTCATAAGGAACCATAATTTATTTTGTGAACCCCAGAGATCTGGGTAGACAGGCATTATTAAAAGTTTTGTTTATGCTGGCCTTGGTATCATTACTACTTGGGTGATGCAATTGTTTGTTATGTCAATGATGATATCAAATGTATTGAATAATAATCATGACCATCATGGATATTTGATGGATGGAGGCATTCATATACAAGGAAATGATTAAATAGGTAAGTCATGTTTACTTTATTAAAAATAGATAATTAATTATACAATATATATAATCTATTGGTTCTCTTTTACTGGTTGAATGATGCCAAATTGGGTATTAGCATACTGATAAGTTAATAATATTTTTAGTATTTTTATCATATGGTCTAAAAGCCTATTAGTAAATATTGAAAGCACCAATATTTATCAGATACTCTTCTAAAATTAATAATATTTTTAGTTAATTATTGACTTAATTTAATAAACCAATGGCTCTTTTATATTGTAATTAAGTTATTGGTTAAATATTTCTAAAGCTCTTTGTACTAAAATAATATCGTAATAGTTAGGGAAAAATAATTCGAGTAAAACGAATAAAATAAATAATGAGTAAAAAATAATTCAAATAAAGCGAATAAAATGAAATTTGTATTACGAATAGAAACCATTCATTAATATTAAAAATCAAAAAACAACAATAAATAAACAAACAAATAGATTTTATTGCGAAATAATTAATTTTGTTCTTTTGGGTGTTAATAATGATTGAGTCGACCACACAAGTAGTAGTCAATTTAAACAGCATTGTTTTAAAAAATTTATTCAAAATAATATTATTAAATGATTTTTAATGTTGCAGATTTTTTTCTTGATACATTAATCTCAGTCCAAAATCAATCACATTTATATACTTTAAAAGCTTTTTTATTTCTTTTTTTGATAAATAATAAATTTATCCCTTATTTATTTATTGGATCAAAAATGGTACACTTTCAGAGAATCAATTACGCGGTAACACACATAATTAATCAAACTTTGCACGCATAATTTATAGGGCCTAGTACTAGACCACAAACCACATTATTCCGTTTCTTTGGTTTAACAAGGTTGACTACGTACGTAGTTGTGTACTTTATTATGTTAACTCTAAAATAAAAAAATCGGTTTTACTGCTTTAAAAAATAAACAGTAATTCTATCTAAAGTAAATAAATAAATTTATTTGTTTATCCGTTATAATAATTTTGGATTTCCAACAATTGTTTGATTTTTTTAAAAAAAAATATATATAAGAACGGTTGATGCGTTTTATGCAAGATACTTCCTTGTTTGTATTTCTTTGATCAAAATTGACAAGGTTTTTTATAACAAACTGAATTAACTTAACATCCAGCTCCCTGTCATCTTCTTGATCTCTTTTTCTTGGACATTTTTTGTTTTTTATTTTTAAAAAAAAAAAAAAAAAAAACACGTAAAACAAAATGTTTATTATTGGCGCTTGATGTTGTACAAAGATTTTTTACACGATTTTTTTGGAAAACAAATTTATTTTTTGACAGAGTCCAAGGTGACAAAATGTGAGTGATATGAGTGATACTGTTTGGTATGATATGGTTTGGTTCTGAAGATGTGTTAATAAGTAACCAGAGACACTTTTTTTAAGTTATATTGATGTTTTTTAGTTATTATAAATATATATTATTGAAATCAAAACGCGGGCAGATCTTGCTGGGTAATTATAAGATTCTTGGTGACGATAAATAAATGATTGATATTTCGTATCGTTATTAATATTAATATTATTATAATTAATTACAAGATGTCAGGGCAGCACACCGTTGAAAAAGAAGCATTTTAATATGTGATGTTTGATCATCGGAAAATTACAAGTGTTGAAGCACTCATGCTATCTTGAATACCATACAGTCATTCTCACACATTCCTCGTGTATACAAGGCTAATCCGACCAGCCTAGATCACGGATAAAACTGACTTCCAGGGGGTCAGCGCATGGCCCTGGAGTTTACCAATACTCAAAACATTTTTACTAATCTTTTCTCACAGCACCATGCCAGAGAAGGCTGTCTCCATGTTTTGCCGAAAAGTCACTTGCAACAATCCTACCTCTAGGGTAAGGATGACTCTGTGATATGTCACGACTATAGAGGTTACAGCATTTTGAAGTATTGTAATATTAGGTACGCATAAGCATCCAGGTCCATCAAAGCAATAAGAATCTACGACTTGTTTCAAGCACAACTCGGAGTAGGGTTGGTGACCCTGAAATTACATTTAGGCTCTGATGTTAGGAAGAAAGACTGCAAATAAAATGTTTCGGATTTTGATTGGTATGCTATATATTAATATAAATTAATCATTTTCTGTTTATTTAATTTTTATTTGACCAACCCAATTTGTTATTTTTTAAATGGGGCCTTTGCCCATATAATCTCCTACAAGTGGTAGTTTGACAGTCACTGGAATCAAGATGAAGGCGTAAAATAAAATAGTTCAGATTTTGATTGGTATGTTATATATAAATTAATCATTTTCCCAGATTTTCTGTTTCTTTAAGTCTTATTTGACCAACTGAATTTGTTTTTTAAATGGGGTAGGGTTGTTGGTGAGACCAACAAGATAGCAACCCAGGACTCAAAACTCTGAATCCAGGGAAAATCTAAAATAGCAACCCAGGTTTCAACCTCTCAGTTGCAGACACTGATTTTATTCTAGAGGGGTATAATACAAAGCAATCATCACACAAACACTGATTCTCATCAACGATCAATGCCCATATGTAACAGTGTGAGAGAAATATAAGGGAAAGTTTTGTCCAAAGCCTTTCAACGTGTGGGGTACTTCAATTGTGGAAATAATTCCATGGTCAAGTTGTGTGTGAAAGCACGACCACATGTTTATAACAGGAAAATTTTAATTAAATCTGACACTTGTAATCAACATCAGATTTATTATTCATTCTAAGGACCATAATTGATAATTAAGAAAAATAATTTATTTTGTGAGCCCCAGAGATCTGGGTAGACATGCATTATTTAAAAATTTCATTCATGTATGGCCTTTGTATTATCATTACTTGGGTGATGCAATTGTTTGTTATGCCAATGATAACATTAAATGTATTGAATAATCATCGTGAATATTTAATGGATGGAGGCGTTCATGATTAAATAGCTAAGTCATGTTTATTTGTTTTGTTTTGTTTTGTTTATGTACGGTATATATGATTAATTATATTTAAAATATATAATAAAAAAATAGCATGGAATCCAAGACTGCACTACTGTGTCAATCAAGCCATCAAGCTGTTATGTTTGTGCATGA